TTCAATGGGAACCTCACACATGGAGCACAGACACATGCACTGCTGAAGTTCACTGGCAAGTACTACTAATCTGATACAATGGAATCAAACCTGGGCTGCACAATCACTACAAGTATACGATAGCTATTCTTCAGCATCTGCTGTCTCTTCAAAACACATCACGCAGCTGATTGCTTGTCTGCCTTGTACATATTGTCTACTATTTCTTGGAACAAATCACTATTGTTTTTCCCATGTATTAGACTTAAATTATCCCCCTGGCCTCTCTTAGTCTAGACCATTAGCAATAAATTAAAGGACATGAATGCAGGAGAATCTTGGAGAGAATGGATGACTTCTGTACTGGTGAGTACTCGGCTAAATGTGAGCCTGATCTTGAAACATAAAAATGTTTGGACAATCGCTACAAATGGAAGCTAGACCAAATGTGATAACAAAAGCTCTTCCTTGGCAGAAAAGGTCCTCAACCATCATTTAATCCTTCTTTAAGCCTTTAATTCCAGTGCTGCAAGATCTAGTTTGTATTGTTTTGTACTTTGACTATTTATATATGTAAACAATGAGTAAAGTTTACTTAATTTCTGTTAGAAAATATTTTCCAGGCACTAATATTTTTCACATGGTACAAGTCACTCTTTTTCCTATTGGCAGAGCTTCTACTGATATCATTGCCAAGTGGATCCAGTTGTATTTAATACAACAAGAGATCCTTGAGTTCTGATGGTCAGCAGTGAGGAGTGTTATAAAATTAGATTTCACAGTATAAAAAAATTCCTCATTTGTGAAGAATTTCTTTTTTACTGGGACAGTGTCTGTCTGATGGATTCATTAAGGGGCAGATTCTCCCTGCCTTAGTCAGTAAAGTAACGTAGAGGAGCCATGAGGGACTTCTTTGACAACACAACTTGGAAGAGTCCTAATCACAGATAGCAGAACAGCAATCAGTCATGTAACTGTTTTGCACTGAAGATGAAAAAAGAAGTACAAATCCGACTACTCGTGTTCTGAAATTCCATTTTCCCTGACACATTTTTAGCAAGGAAGACTAGGAGCAGAGGTGTAGGTGGTTAGAGCTTGCCCGTGCTACCACTATGCAGCAGAACTAGAGGGATTTTCTGTATCTGGGAACATTCTTGTGGTTTCCCATTTGGCCCCAGATGAGTCCTGTTGTAGTGTGCGTAGTTCTTTGATGCTACTGTAAACACATATTTGACATGTGTTCCCTTTAAAGGAACTAGCGATTACTAATGTTTCCCTTTTATTCCTGGGATCCTCAGTCTTTAACTTCATACAAGCATATGGTTACTACAAGGTGAAATTTGTTGCCAACTTAAATTAAAACCAATTAGTTTACCGGTTGCTGTGGGAGCATGCTAAAATAAGACAAGTAACACAAAATGGCTTTTTAAATACTTCAAATATAAGACTTGGATTTTCCTTTGTTTATTGGCATTTTCATGGCTTGATTCTGATCCTCCATATCCACGCAGTAGTTCTTCATCACTTAGGTCAGAGCAATGATATTTTATTGTCTGGATGCACACTCAATTTGTTTAAGTATTAAAATCAAATAAAAGAGAAATACTTTGTAACATAATTGTGACAATAGCACTGGGAGCAGCAACACCTGGGTCTGTGCCCTGTGAAGTACACAAGCAGGAAGAGTGTTGAGTTTCTTTTCTGCCAGAAAGTGGTGAAGTAGCAGATTCCAGGCGCTACAGACTTATAAAGGATCAACCACTCCTTATTTTCCAGGGGAAAAAATATTAAGATGACTTTTGATTTATTTATGATGAGTTTCTGTATCACTTGCAAATCAATTTTCAATATTATATTTGATAATCATTACCCTTGGGTTTTTAACTTTGACACCTTTTTGTTGGGGCTAATATATGTCACTTCTCAGAAGGAACCTTTCCTCTTTTCTCTTGCTGTCATGCTTGTGCAGATCTAGATCATTTCCAACTGAGTTACAAGATCCTTATCTAGACTTGTTTCTTCTTCATAACACTATTCCTAAAATCACCCATCGAGGTACCCCTTAGATTCACTTACCTTGCCTTTTTGACTTCATAACTCTGTGCATCATTTTCTTCCTTCCCTACAGCTTTATTAACCTGCTGCTGAGCTGTTCTTATTCCTTTGTTTCACCACCATTTGCAGTCCATTACCCCCACTGTTTTCCTTCAGTCATCCTTGCACCTTTTCCCACTACATTTCTTATGGATGAGAAAAAGATAATATAGTTACAATTTCATTGGCTATGCAGATAACATTGCAGATATGTCACTTCTTTACCCCAAAAGCTGTGCCTTTCTTTTCCTTTGCTACCTGTTTAATTTCTGGCATGTCTTTGTATTTACATAGAAAAGGATTCCAGTATAGACCACAGGATTCCAGTATCTGATCAGCAAACCTACTGACTATCTCAGTACAAATAGCAACAACAAAAATTGTTGTGATCGGCAGTATCAGTAGAAGAAAGTCCAAGAATTTTCTTAAGTATGTTGTCTTTGGAAGTGTAAAAACCCTCCAGATTTAGTCCAAGAAAAGATTGTTAGAAACTTTTATGTGCAGAAGTGGCTGAAGCCAAACTGGAAAGAAACCAAAAGGCAACTGAAAGGCAAAAACTGAAAGAAATGTTTGTAAACAGTGCATTCTGCATTCCCACTTTAGGAGGGAGGAAGGGAGAGGAGAACGTAATTGGAAAGGCTGGAAAGGTCAAGGATATTTTTGTGAAGATGGAGTTAGAGGCTCTTGGATACGCTCATATTTGAGAACTAGCCAGGAGAGAACAGAAGGCTGAACAAGGGCAGAAGGATGAAGGTTAGCAGGTTGGAAACATTTGGAGTCAACAGAGTAGAGAGAGCAGTTGGATAAAAAATCTGTTTGGTGATGGAAACGATAATGAAGAGGATGTTTGAAAGAGAAAAGAGTGGGGAGGTTGGATAGGATCTTGTAATATTTTTAACTGAAGCCAGCAAGATCTCACATGGAAAAACTTGTATGGCAAGAGGGGAATTAAATGAAGATCAAAGAGCTTTGAGTTGGGGGATGTAGTGCTCAGGAATATGGCACAGCCACAGTATGGATGAAGTGTGTGAAATCTGTGTGTCTTTTGGAAATTATCAAGTAGTGTTAAAATGCCTTCTCAGATCAGAATAAAATATCTCAGAAGATTTGGGATGACTGACAGAACTTTGTGGTGGGCTGGAGACAATAGTATCACAAAAAAGTGATTTTTTATTTGGTTCTAATGAGAAATTAAGGGAAAAATGAATTTTCAGTGGGGTTTTTTGTTGTCTGTTTGTTTTCGTTTTTTCTTGTTATTGGACTAACTCTTGCCTCCACCAAGGCAGTCAACTGTGTTTTTAAAATCCTTTAAAATATTTTACCTACACTTAATGAGATTCCTTTCAAAATTATGTTAGGAGAAAAAGGTCTGCACATTTAATTTAAAATATTGAAAGTGGTTTTATTGTTTTGATTTCTGTTTGTCTTTCTTGCCCCCCCATCCGCTCAATTCAGTACATGTTGTACTCTATCCTTGAAAGCAGTTAAAAATAAGAGAAAGAAGGAAAACAAAAGCAAAGCAAGGACAAGCTCTAGGTACACTATCACAGTTTAGATTATTCATAAAAATAAAAATAATCTTGTTTTTAAACAGCTCTGTTGTTCTAGGCAAGAAACAGACTCCTTGTGCTTGAATTTTCCTCAAGCCATCAGTGTGAGATACTTAACTCTTTCAGAAGCATGTTGTAAGCAGAGGAAAGAAGGTGTTTTAGAGTCTTCCTTTTTTTTTTCCCCCTGAGAAACCAGCACAACTGGGGACACAAATGGAGTCACATTTATCTCACTTTTAAAATAAAGGTCTTTAATGACAAGGGAACTCTTAGATTAGTGTGAACAACCAAGCTGGTATTTAATGTAATGGCCACATCAATTTAATTTCTTTGTTTCTTTGTTCTTGTCAGCACAGTTGTGGGTTGAAATTGTAATTTGGGCTGTTTCTCTGACTTTCCCAGTAAAAATAAATCTGATGTCATTGCATGCTCCTTGGCAGGCCATGTGTCATTATTATAAACCACACAGAGATTTTTTTCTCATCCAGATTTTCTTTGCAGGGCCTTTGCTTATGACAGAGTTACAAAACGGTGCCATTGGTTATCCTTCAACAGCTTGACAAATGGTGTGAGAAAGAAGCAAGACCATGCATTTGATCTGTATGAAAAGAAGGGTAACTGATTTATTTACCTATTTTGTTTTTCCAGCTATGCAGGGGGAAAAAAGCTGAGGTCAGTCAGTGACTTTTTGGCTATAGGAGCGTTCTGGGCATGGGACGGTTTTATGTATTCTGAAAGCTGCATCCTACAGTTTGATTTACAAAGATCTTGGTTTTGCTGTCATGGAAGTTCATTTTGCTCAGTTTTCCAGCCTACATATTTGCCTACCATCATGTGGACTAGTCTGAATTACTATTTCAGTTTACTACTTCAACGCTCAGTTTTATGAGTTACTGCTGTTACCTTAATATTGCTTTTATTTACCTCATTATTGAGTGGGCGTCTTAAGTCCTCAGACATGGACTTTTGGTCAATCAGACATTTTGGAAACATTTTCAGTAGCTTGCTTTGTGAAGTTAGTGATCAATATTTTGAAAAAAAAAAGAGACAATAATGTACGTGGACAATTAAACAGTATTTTGAATAATTAAGTATTTAAAGGCTATCAAAAATATATTATTTTTATGTGAGCTTTAATTTTAAATACATTAACCAAACCCTTAATTTTCTTCCTGTTTCTTTCAATAGACTATGTCAGGAATTGTATCATAGGAAAAGGAGCAGATTACAAAGGAACGATATCTGTTACCAAAAGTGGTATCCAGTGTCAAGCCTGGAATTCAATGATCCCCCACGAGCACAGGTAAGAGTTCAGCAGCAAAGACAATGGGAATAGTGCTCAGACAGCTTCCATAAAGCATGGTTTGACTTATTAGCAGACAAAGAATTTATGAGAAAAAAGACCTTAGACACCAAAATCTCTCTTGCCTTTCCCTGAGATGCCATTCTCCAGATCCCAGAAAATCCTTACCTTCTCAGGCTTTCGCCAAAGAGATCTCTCCTAATGCCAGCCTGTGTGTCTGGATCCCTTCCTTCCCTGTGTCAGTTTTTTAGCTGTTTCTATCCGTTTGATCTCTTAGCTACTGGCAGAAACAAAACATCTGTGTAACTTCAGCCTGGGGTCTGGAAGTTTATCACTGTTTTCTAATTGACTCCCAGGAAATGGGTAATTTTAAAAAATACATCATTAGGAAGCAAGAGATATTAAGGATATTAGGGATCTTAGCTCACCTATTTGATCAGTATATAATTATGTTACTATATTTTGCATAGTTACTATTAATTCTCTATTATTTGCAGAATATGTTAAACACTATAAAACACTTAGACCAGGCAATAAATACACGGAAGGGACTGAACAGATTATTGAAATCCTTTTCTTCAGACCATATGAGCAGTAACGAAAGACTGATGCATCAAGTATGGGACTTAACTTTTGAGTTTAAGACCTGATATAGTGAGGAACTGAGGCTATATCTACACCTTGAGAGTAGACTTAGTTCAACTATATAGGCTAAGGAGAGAGAAAGAAGCCAAAAACTGAAGCTAGTAAGAGGTCAAAACAGATTCAACTACAACAAACATTGTTGGAAACTAGCAGAACAACTGTGAAGTACTGGACTACTTTTTGACCATTTCTCTTTGAACCTTTTTCATGTTGCCTGTAGCCATTTAGATAATAAGCCCTGAAGAGCCCAGAACAAAGTGTCCTCTCACCCATAAACTTCCTACCCACATTGCTGCCTTTTGCTCAGGACTCCAGCATCAGCACTTTGTTTAGGAGGAGCCAAGCTGGCGATTGCTAGTGAGGAACTGGGCTGTGCACTGCTCTGTCCTGTCCTGACCAAATCTATCCAGTGTGCAAGATGATATCTTGGAACAACATTAAAAGGCAAAGAATACTTGGGTTCTCTCATCTTATGATGTGTTACAAAGCTGAGCCTCAGGCTTGAACTTGACTGGACTTGGCTGCTTATAATATAGAAGGTGGTGTGTTTGACTTTCAGTGTGGGACCAGACTCGCTCTTAATTGTGAATGTATGATAAATACCATCAGCTCCGACAGCAATGACCTCTTGAGAGTCAACACCTTAAAGTATACAATCTTCATCTTATAGAAGTGAAAGAACTCTTAATAATTACAGCCTAAGCAAGAATGAGCATTTATTCTATATAAGATACATATGATTTTATATATTTAAAGAAAGAAAACTGTCTGGATGATATATATTATCACTAAATTGCATTTTAATATACAGCATACACAGTTTTATCTAATACATTTCAACAGCCACTCTTCTGTGATGTATTTTATGAGAATGACTTTTCTCCTGCCTTGTGCAATAAGTTTAATTTTTAAAAGGTCACTGGATAAATGAGGTGGCTGCATGCTAATTTTGTTTTTCAACATCAGAAAATATGATTTCATCATCAGAGACATGAGGGAGATGGGAAGAAGCAGACAGTAGTGGTGTGTTTGGAACTTATTAGTAAGAAAGGCTGAGATTTTTAGGCCAGTTTTTCTCAACATCTGATTATCACAAAGTGCCATTGGAAAATAAATCCCTTTTTCGTATTCAAGGCAGAAATGTACTTTACTGATTTTTCATTATCCTAGAAAGAATTGAAATAACTTCAGACTTTAAACTTGTGCTTGGATTTAACAAATTATATTTTTATTTATTTGCATTCCACTAGAACTTGGAGACTCTCAGCTGAAATCAGGGTTCCATTATTTTTGTCTCCATCCTAGTACTGATTACAAGACTCTCCTTTTTTTTTCTTTTATGATCTTTTTCTATCTGAATGGATAAATCCAATGCAAAAAGAGTTCAAAGAAATGGTCAAAGAGTAGACCAATACTTCACAGGCTTTCTGCTAGTTTCCATGACTTTTGCTGTGATTGAATCTGTTTTTACCATTACTCTTACTGGCTTCAGTTTTTGGCTTTCTTCTTTTTTTCCTTACCTAATATAGTTGAACTAAATCAGTACAGTCTTAGGAGTGGCTCTATCTTCCGTTTCTGGGTGGGTCTTTACTGAATCTCATCTTTTCCTCCCTCAGGAATTTTGCTTCAGTACCTGTTGAAGCCATTTGTTTATCTGACCCATCTTGAGTTTCTAATGCTATTCATTTAGACTTTTTTTTTAATGTTCTGACAGCATATCTGACATAAATTGAAATTTCTTTTTCCTATAGTTTCTAATGTCTGCAATTTCTGAGCAGAAAGATTTTCCAGTTTTCTAAGATGCACTGACATGCTACATTAACATATACACAGGTTGCAATGTCCCATCAGAATTGTTTGCCCAGGGCCGTCTTCAGCTAAAAAAATATCAAGAGATTTATATTACAAGACTGCAGAGGAAAAACAGAAGCAACAATTTTATAGGCAGCAGGAATTATCATCTTCAAGGACGAAAAATTAGAAATGCACTTTTAAGTAATCATAGAATCATATCATAACATAGAATGGTTTGGGTTGGAAGGGACCTCAAGAATCATCTAGTTCCAACCCCCCTGCCATGGGCAGGGACACCCTCTTCTAGACCAGGTTGCCCAAAGCCCCATCCAACTTGGCCTTCAACACCTCCACGTCACTGACAAAGATGTTGAACAGTGCCAGTCCCAGTACCAACCCCTGAGGAACGCCACTCGTCACTGTTCTCCACTTGGACATTGAGCCATTGACCGCAATTCTTTGAGTGCGACCATCCAGCCAATTCCTTATCCACCGAGTGGTCCATCCATCGAATCCATGTCTTCCCAATTTAGAGACAAGGATGTCGTGCGGGACAGTGTCAAATGCTTTGCACAAGTCCAGGTAGATGACATTGGTTGCACTTCCCTTATCCACCAAAGCTGTAACCCCATCATAGAAGGCCACCAAATTTGTCAGGCATGATTTGCCCTTGGTGAAGCCACAATGCTTCCACATTGCATTGACTAGAAACACAATGCGATCAACAGAGTTAGTTCAAAGATTTCATTATGGACATAAAACATGATTAAATGTCACATGTCAGAATTTTCTTTTTGTTTTTCTCTTTTTTTAAAAATTTTTAATTTGTTTATTTGTAACATAGAATTTGCCAAGGACAGAAGGAACCATACATTTCTCTTCTGCTTTTGTATATAAATTAAATCAGTGTCTGTGTATGAAGACTGTCCCAAGTGCTTAGCTTGGTTTCCTAAGCTGCAAGTGTCTTCTAAAAGAAGTTAGAAGAAATTTTATTCCTTTTTTTTTTTTTTTCTTCTAGAAAAATTACCTTGGTGATTAAAAAAACCCCCACCAAAACAAAACAAAAAACTCAACAGAAATATAATCCCCAAACACCCAAAATCAAGTACTGAGCACTTTCAGAATAAAAGATGAACTTTACTTGTGATATTTACACCAGAATTTAAATATACTAAATAAAAACACTAGAACAAATCTTAGAGAGCTCAAAAAGAAAATCAATTAATTAAGTTGAACTACAAGTTTTGCGTTATCTCCAATATATTTTTCCCAACTTTTCAATTAACAACAACAACAAAATCTTCATGGAATTAAACATAACTCTGATTTAATGTGCTTTTTAACTACAGAGGTTTAGCTGCCATTTAAGCATTACTGCAATGAAATGGTTGGATTTGATGATCTCAAAGGTCTTTTCCAGCCAAAATGATTCTGTGATTCTATGAAACTAGCACTGAAGTGCCATTGAGTTTGTCTGCAACGTGCAGCCTGAATGTGGTCATGAGCCCTTGCAGTGGCATTGAACAGAATCAGCTCTGGAGTTGGGCTCCTCACTATGGGGTTACCGATTCCCTAGTTCATGGGGAAAAATAACTACCATAACTATAGTAACAGTATATATAGTACTACTATATATACACGCCTACATGTATCCTTGTGTGTCAGTGTGTATGTGGGGGTTTCTCTAGAGGTAAGCACATAATTTTACAGACAGCTAAGAATACAAAACTTTGACCCTGGAGAGTTTATATTTGATGGACTGAGCATAAGCAGCAAAGTCTCATACTGAAAGTGTGTGTTAGGCAAAAAATATAGTATTAGCTCACATTTCTATTAAACCACTAAAGAAAAACAAAGTTCTTAACATTGGCCCAAGAACCCCTAATCTAAGGGAAAAATCTTAAGGGGTGTTGTTATTTAATAGCCCCTTACAGCAAAAGCAGAAAATATAATGAAAGGGAGAGCACAGTTTAAGTCAGCTAGGTCACTGTGAAATGACCTAATTTGTAGGACAGCAATGATGAGTGGGTCTATAAGCAGCAGACCCTAAGGTGGCAACGGTGGGGCTTGTGGCAGAACATAAAGCAAGACTGCTAAAGTGGGATCTGGGGAAATTTGTCTTGCTGAAATGCAAAGCAGTCCATGGTTTCAGGCAGTGACAGCCTCTCAGCACGGTGTGTCACACTGCTCGGTCACGCTCACGCACTCCTGATGCTCAGTTGTAGCTGCTGCCTGAGCAGCGATGGGAAGAGGTTTCTTTGCTTGTGGGATTTACACAGTAGGTGCACACTAAGCCCAGCTGGGCCCGCTGTATGTGCACAACATGCATACATCATGGACTTGATGTACTTTTCACCTATGCACCCCAGACATTTTTCTCCCTTGTCCAAGGGCCTCCCACCGTTGTGTGAGCAGTTATGAGCTTGTGAAGGAGAGCGCGGCGAGGGCTGGCAGGGAGTGTGCTGCTGCCTCTGGCTCTGCAGCAGATAGCTGGCTCCGGACGCCCGAGGGACAGGAGAAAACTCGCTAGAGTAAACTATGGGCTAGACAAATTGTCCCAGATTTAGGCCATCGATTGAGTAATCCTGATTGAAAATGTGTATTTGTGTATGCACAGATATTTGGGTGTGGGCATTTGTGTAGGCAGGGTGGAGGGAGAAGAAAGCAGAAATGCGATTGTTTCTAACTGTTTGTACAAATAGTATGATTAACACTGAAGTTTGCATGCTCTTATACTGTAATGATTGTCATTTTAAAACTAGCTTTTTGCCTTCGAGCTATCGGGGTAAAGACCTGCGGGAAAACTACTGTCGAAACCCCCGAGGGGAAGAAGGAGGACCGTGGTGTTTCACCACCAGTCCAGAGATGCGCCATGAAGTCTGCGACATCCCCCTCTGCTCACAAGGTAACCGGCACGGCTCACGTGGAAAGTTGCCTTTTCCCTGCTGACGGCAGGTAGACAGAACAGGTACGATGGAACGATAGTTTCAGTGACACTGGCTCGGGGATTTTGGAGAAAGAATAGGTGATTTCTCAGCAAGAATAACTCATACAGCAAGAAAAGCAGTTATTAGAGAAAGAGGAGATCTTGTTATGTTCCAGTACTCTGGAAGACTTGAACAAGATTTCAGGCTCAGCAGCTTTTTTTCGGGTCACGGAGGAGCTGGAACAATGGAAGTTGTGCTGATTGCACAAATGTGACCCTTTTTTCACTTGTCTAGTCTATAGTGAATCCATTAACAATTTCAATATTACATGTGATAAATTCACCTAGTGACATTCCATGGTAAAATCAACTTTTCTTCTTCTTTTTGATGAAAATATAGATACCGAATTGCAGGATGAAAGCTCGGTCTAAGCATGCATTTTGTTTTTAAAATTAATACTGTAAATAAGTGAAACTTTTTATGAATCCAGTCCCATTTGACTTTCAAGACACAGAATTTGAAAGACACTTCATGTGCACCATTGCATTTGTTAACTTTTAAGTTCTGTTAACCTCCAAACTAAACTCTTAGATCTTGCTAATCAGCCAATTCAGTTCCAGTCAATCAGCCCATTTAAATTCTCAAGATAGGATGCCTTTAATTTTCCTGCTAATGTGTCATGTGCAATAGCTATGTAGTGGGGGGGGGAAGAAAAGGGAGATGGAGGGAGGGAGGAAGAGAATGATTTACAAGGAGCTTGAAAATCTATTACAAGCTATCATTTAAAGATCAATTTAAGTGAACTTCAAATGGGATAAGACCTGGAGCTCACTGCAGGATGAAGGCTTTGGTAGCGGATGTTTTGACGGAAGGGTGAGATCTGTAATTGCATAAATTAGTATTTACTAAGTGATGCTTCGTTACAATTACTCTAATTAGGGGGCACTTGAGAAATGTGTCTATAGTTAATTATGGTGAATTTATTTTATATTTTAAGACTTCTCATTCTAAATTATGAAGCATATTTTCTCCAACAGTGATTTCAAATCCCTTTGGTAGCTTTTGCCCACTCTCCCTCCACCTCCCACTTTCCCAAACCAGGGCTGAAAATGTATCATAGTTTAAGCTGCCAAAAAGAATTAGTATCGAAAAGAAACAGTATCATATGTAGCTGAAAGTGCTGGGAATTTAAAGAGACAGACTGTTCTGCATGAAATTGATTCAGCCATTATTCTGGACTTAAACTTGCACTGTTATTATACTATGACTTAGAGTGATTTAGAATAATGAATGTAACTTAATTAGAAAATATCATCTCTAAAAATACTCCTTCCTTAGATGTGTGTGTCTCTCTCTTGCTAACCATGGGTAAGGTTAAAAATCTGCTAGGAACATGAATGCCTCTAGCAGTTCGCACCTACCTGCCTCGAAACCGTAAGTGCCCTATAAAGTGATACCAAGTGTAAGCATCTGGATTAAATCTAAGAAAGAGATGCGACTCTATTCCAAAGGACATGTCCCATATCAACCTAACTAACAGATACCATTTTTTTCTACCTCTCTAGATTGGGTTCAGTTTGTAACAGCAGGGATATAATTTAATTTTTGAATTTTTTTTGTGTGCTACAAGTCATCAGCATAATAAATGACTAGTACATATTTTTTTTCCTAGTTGAATGCATGACCTGCAATGGAGAGAGTTACAGAGGGCCAATGGATCACACCGAGTCAGGCAAGGAGTGTCAGCGCTGGGATCTTCAGAGACCACACAAGCACAAATTTCGTCCAGAGAGGTAACCCCTCCTCCCTCCCGAGCAAATCCATGTGGTTATAATTTGAAAATCACACACGTTCCGGAACCAGTTGGGCAAAATCAGCATTATTGAACTGAAATTTATGGAGTTCACTAGCTTTAGTTCCTTGAGCTTGTGGCCCATGGTGTGAGCAGGCTGGCTACAGTCACGACGGAGATGCAGGATGGGTACTAGAGGCTATTTTGTGCAGTTGTGACTACATGCCATGGCCGAGTAGTGCAGTGATGTACATGTGCTGCATTAATTCATCAAAATTGCCTCCCTAGCTTCATTGACAGTAAAAAATTAACCTTGAATGTTTCTGTATATGCTCTTAGGCAGCTTTAGACAGCTTAAAATACCTCAAAGTAATCACAAAGTAAATAATGATTAAAAGTCATACATTTTTGTTAGAGTTCTTGACACAATTAATGAATATAAACTTGCAACATTGTTAAGTCAGAGAATGCTCCTTTTTTGAAATACTTAACAGCTTTAAAGCTGTGGCTGGTCTTCTGTTGTAATCAGGTTTAAGCAGCCAATTTGTTTGACCAAAATGTTTGCCCACTAAACTTTTTTTTTCAGCCTGGCAAAAGAGTTCATCATTCTGTTTAGCATTTTATGCACATGGATTTATATTTTAGACTTTTTTTTTTTTTTTAAATTTAGGCATAGATACATAATGCCAAAAGATGAGTCAGAAATAGCAAGACAAATTGCATCCCCATTAGGGTTTGTCCTAGAGGGTAAAATTCACCCCACCACAAAGGGTCATCTATAATACACCCTTCTGGAAGGATTTTGTGTGGGGGTTTAGGCCACACAGGAGGGGCTTTGTGTTTCTCTTAAACTGGACTGAAGTTTCATTTTAGTTTTGCTCTGGATTTTGGATTAAGTCCATTTATAAAGTGTATTGAATAAACTTAAACTGCCAGAGGAAGACTGCAAGAATCAACAATCTCAGAATGATTGAGACCTTCCAGTGAAAGTATGTCTATATATGTTCAAGTGTTCTACTAAACAAAGCATCATTTTTATACTCAGAAATATGGGTACTGGTAGATTTTAGAAAGCATGATTATTCAGCAAAATATTAAGTATCCGCACTTTTGGAGTTTATGTGATATAACCTCTTTTTCCTCCTGGCTCAGATGATCTGCTTCATGAATAATAGCAGGCTCTCTGATAGTTCTGCTACAATAAATACTTTGTATTAGCAGACTGGGACTGAAGATAATCTGTTTCTGAGTTTTGCCATGCACTTGCTGTGCAGTCTAGAATAAGTCACAGAAAGAATTTTGTTCATTGGGAGTGAAATATTCATTAAACATCTGGGTACAAACAATAGTAATTTTACTATCAGGAGGAAACTTCTTTTTTCCATTAATTTTGAATTGTTTGTAAAATGACTTTTCAGACTAACTGCCATCTGACGAATGATCATCTTCGTCCTTGAAAGACTTCCTTTAGAAAATGTCTTCTAGAGAGTTTTCAGATTGTAATAAAAATACATTTTATTAAAAAAGAACTAATCCAGATTAAGCTGATCTGTATGTGCTTTCAGAAGAGTAACTGGGTCCAACACATTTCTAATACACTGATGTTAATTAACTTCATGGAATGGTCACTAAAGGTAGTGACAATTATACTTTGATTATACTAGCTTTTAAAACGTTGCGGGCTTTGGTTTGTTTTGGTTTTTTGATAGTCATTTAAGTTGAAAATAAGAGAAGAGGTCTGGAACAAATGACCCATTAAGATACAGCAATCTCTCTAGAGGGTTATACTTTACCATCTTGGGGTAACGGGAATAACCTGCAAACCAGGAAGGATTAGCTGGACAGATTTAAACTTATTTTCATTTATGGATTCATCAGGTGCGATGACAAAGAAAGAGAGGTAAAACTAGTAATCTGTTCAAATGCTTCAACCTGCTGTTGGACAATGCTTTCAGCTCAGGGTGAATATATCTCCCCTTTCCTTTTTTGTCACCTCGATGAACTGATCCACATTTATTCCCTTCAGAGGTCACTTACTGAAGAGAATTGACAATACCTGTTTACTTAGATGTGATGGAAGCTAGCAGTAGGAATCCCCCAAACAACTCCCGCATGACCTGTTTTTAGCTATTAGTGGATGCAGAACTGTATTCTGAAGCTCCAGTTCTCTTGTGTACTCCTCACGGGCAGGATTATGCCTCAGTATGGAAAGAACATCATTGAGGATAATGACTTTGATAGGCATTAAGCAGAATAGAGAAGCAACAGTTCTCTTCTGCTCATATTTTCTGCTCAAAATCAATTATGCTGTGAAAATAGGTGCTTATTACATGGAGGAAAGTAAGGTTGAAGTGTAGTATCAGAGTTGAATAACTCTGGGTATCCTTTTACTAAAATACACTGGGCTATATCTCTTGCAAGCAAATTTACTTTATACAATATCGTTTCCAGTCCTTCATTTCTTTTAAAACAAAAAAGAAGGGGAAAAGAAATATTGGTGAAGAGTTTTAGACACTAAGTTTCAGTTTAGTTGCAGCAGAGCTAGATATCAGCATCTATGTCTTTAAAGAGAATAAATGTTCTCTCTTTGTCTAACACTCTTTTCTTCCCCCCCCCCAGAAACGAAGCAAAAGTCTTGATTTTGACACCAGATGTGCATCTTAACGTTTCATTTCAGTCTCAGCAGTGAAGTACAGCTACTGCAGTTTTGGGGTGGGGAAATATGTAGGGTTCTGAAAGATCTTGGAAACCTCAGGCTATTTGTTGGGTCCAAGCAAGAAGTCTGTGCCTGAGTGTCCTCACTGAAGGAGGAGTGTGCAGAGGAAAGGGATGAGCTCTCACGAAATCCTCCACAGTCTCACTGTTGAATTGCGTGGGACAGTTTGAAGCCCTGTTGTTTATCTTATCCCTAATATTTGTGTTTTAAAGGTGTTAGCTGACCTTTTCTGTAGGAACTGAGGAACTGTTTCTTGTTGGATATGAAGGAAGGCAGAAGCGTGTCTGATCATTGTGGGAAGAATCAGACTGGGAAGGCTGTTGTTGCTCTAGAAAAGGGCACATAGATATAGTAGCTGGAAAGATATAGTTCAGAGACACTACTCCATCCCACAAAGACACTCAAAGCTTAATCCTGGAAGAACTGTTACATCTCTACTTAAGTTTTAGTTAGTAAATAACATATATTTGACATACTATCGGACCATATCATACAATATTAGGAAGAACAGAGCATTCAGTGCTATGAAAGACATTTGTCTTCTAGAAAGTGGATTCTTCACATCCCCAGTTGTTTTGAATGGATTTTGGAAGCTATGACTGCAGACACCTTGCCATTCCTGAACTCACCTTTGTTCCCAGGTAGTGCCATGGGCCCTCCATTGGTACATGACATGGAGCATGCGCTACCAACATCAAAGCTCATCACTGCACCTACCATCTTGTTTTCTGCTATATTGTTAGCCCATTAACTGTTTTCTTGTCAAATCCTCGGACACAATTTGTTCCTTTACAGTTTCTCTTCTACTTAGTAGAAAATAGGGTACTGCTGCTAGATCTGAAACTACCACATTCTTGACTGCCCTTGATGTCTCGGTTTGGTGAGGTTTTTCCTTGGTGGTGGTTTTAGTGTTTTGTGGGTTTTTGTTTGTTAATTAGGGGGTTTTTAAATTGTACTTAAATATTATCCCTGTCCCTTGTATAGATGAAGGAACCTGATTTTCCCAAGGAAAGGGAAATCAAGTTGCAAAAGCATCCTAGCAAAAACACACGCTTGTAAATCATATTTTCCTCTGCCTGTGCAAAACACATCTGCTTGCAGTTGTAAATGGGTTCAGGTTCCCAGGTAGTTAACTTTATTGTTCTCTTACATACTTTTCATGTTTCCCTCAGGGGCAAATCTACTTTTTGTTTCTTTTACAAATATGTTTCAATAAAACTGGAAAGCCAAGACAATTTGTATTCACTGGAGGAAAAAAAGTATGCATTTATCTCCCTCTCTTTAAGTTTATAGAATTTCATATGGCACATTTATACAAAAAGAACCTTCTTATCTTGAATATCTGCCTGACCATTCAATGATGGCAGTAGGAATGTGGAAACAATTGAATGGTACAATAGTTTGAAATCTTAATGAGATAAAGCGAGACAGAAGTTAATTCCTTATTTTTCTCTTTTTTCCCCCCAATGCTTGAAATGAGGGCATGACCTAGAATGAGCTCTATTACAAAAATGGAGCTATCATTAGTATCACAGCTATTACAAATAGCTTCCAGTTTGAACCCAGGGCTGTTGCACTGAAGAACCTGTTTTCTTAATGAGCCCAGCATGCCAGGCAGTGTTTATATAATCCACACTTAATTGGCTGTTTCAAAAAAAAAACCCGAGTGGCTTTAGAGTCTGGTCATCAGTTGACAGACACAAGAGCAAAAGTTTAACAATTAGCAGAGTTACCCCATCCGGTATCCTGTGCATTAGCACAGCAGGGAATCCCCTCAGTGGAGGTCTAATTCTGCAGCATATTTGGAAAGAGATTTTATGTTATTAACTTTCTAAGAGTGTTAAAGAGTATCTGCACCCATCTCACAGGATCAGACCCAAGGTTAATGGGAACTGGTTCTTTGCCTCTGCTGAAGACTGTCCTTTAAGTACCTTGCACAAGCCTGTGCAGTGTTGCCAGGAAGACTTCTCTGACACGTTTCTCGTTGTGGTTTGCAGATATCCTGACAAGGGCTTTGATGATAATTACTGCCGCAATCCTGATGGCAAGTTGAGACCATGGTGCTACACTCTTGACCCTAACACCCCCTGGGAGTTCTGTGCAATTAAAACGTGTGGTGAGTTCAAGCAAAATTTATTACTTCCTTTTCCTTTCCAAAATCTGGACATATATAGTTCAAGCAATATGGAACCACGGCTAGTTCATTCATTGCAGTTCACTGACTTTTAAAACGTCGTTTCCAAAGAGGATCTCCTATAAAGACATTATATTTAATCTGGACAGGAAATAAAAGTGTTGTGTGTTACTTAGCACTGGAATATGTGTGTATCTTACATACAGGAAATTGCATTAAAATGTAGGAAAATCAAGAACTAAAAGAGTGAGGCAACATCATCATGAAGATCACATGTACAGTATTAGTTTGGCCGTGCTGGGCATCGGCATTACAATTTGTGAGCAGATGCATGCACACCGTCCCTACTCAGTGCTCTCTCTGTCAACAGCCGCTCGTTGCTTTGTTTTCCTCTTGCATATTGTGTGGTTCTAGGCCTCGGTTCCTGCATACCATTCAGCCTTGTGCTGCAGACAGAATTATTCATTTCCCCATAGGTTTCCCTGTGATACTCAGTGCTTCAGTATCAAAGCACTCCATAGGCAATTAATTTCTTTTCATACGTCAACTATAAGGTGGTGGCTTTTGTTATCCTTATTTTACAGACAAGGAGTTGAATCAAAGTAACATTAAGGCACACAAATACTGGATGCCCATTTTGAGATGCTTTAGTTCAGAATTTTTAGAGAATTCTGCAGCATATTCTGTCTGTCTTCAAAGCCCAGATCCTCCTAGCTCTGAAAGCTCTGTTCTACTGATAATTAGATGTCTTAAATGAGCAGTACAGGGACAATAATAAAGGTAAAACTATTGGACATTCCTTAAAAACTTGGGTAAAGTAATTTTTATAGACTTTCATGGTAATTCTGGGGCTGAGGCAGATGGCAGAATTAAGTTTTGTTGGGACACGTTTTAATAAGGAAACCGAGATTTGCATCCCTGAAATTCCTTGCCTCATTCACAGCTTGTGGGATCTACAGGTGATAGTTTCCTCTCTTATCTCCTATGGTTCTCATTGCTACATTTGATGTCAACGTTTTTGCCCTTAGTGAACTGAAAACCTGTGAAAGAATCAATGTACAAGCAAGATATTAAAGGCAGTCTCGTAATACCTAGGCAGGGTTTTTTTATTCTTTTTACTCAAAATACTTTGTTTATAAAATCTTGGGATGAAATGCAATTTCTGAAAACAAGGCATGACTTTGACTGAATCCATACTGTAGAAGCCTCTCAGCCTCGTGTGCCCCAGCCTTGTGGCAGAGCCTCCAGGAATACAGGTAGAAAAGGAAAAAAAGTATTTTTGGATTTTCCATGAACTAGAGGCAAAGGGAAGCTTCTAAAACTGATCAGTGAAACTCAGTTTCATGTTAGCTCATGAGAAAGTCAGTTTCTCTTAGATCTGCAGTTTTAGAAACTGCAGTTTCCTTTGTTGTCCTGCTTCAATTATGACCAAAATTAAGTGTTAAAAAAAAATCCTCAAAACCGGACACTATGCTTTTCATCTAGCTCGAAGTGTTACTTCAGTAGGCTTATGTCATTGTAAAATTCATTTGGCTGTCTTGGGAGGACGAGAGAAGAAGAGAATATTAAAAAGAACAATAAAGCTCACCTGGAACTGGCTTTACGTGAGAATTCAAAAAACAGAAGAAACAAAACAAACCAAAATAATAAGAAGTATAAAAGGTGAGGGGTTTAATGACTGTTTCATTTTTAGTGTTCTCTGTATTTTGTTGTTGTTGTTGTTGTTGTTATATGAACCAAGATAAAACATTATTGGGCTATCTGAAATCTAGATAAAATAATAGAGACAGTAGTGGATCTTACAAAAAGTCTTTTTCCATAATGTAATCCTGTATTTTTTCTATAGAGTTGGCATATATATAAATACTGGGG